CGCAAACTTGTCAAACTAGCGATTAAAAACTTCAGATTTTGGCCCAGAATCAGAGGAATCATTTAGGATTCTCAAAATATCTCAGACAGCAAAATATTGGCCAAAATTGTATAGGGCAAACTCGGCTTTAGTCCTGTTATTTTAAATGATTGTATTAAAAGAATTTCAGACGGTTCTTATAAAAATGTGCTCTAGGAATGTATAATAGCATGTCCTATGGCACGTGATAAGAAAAAAAAAATCACCCGAGACAGCAATACAGGATGAGTGATGGAGTATAATATTTTTGCAGTGATTTCTATTTCTACAATCTCGCAGTTGACAGCAATCTCAGGTTCTTATTATTTGTTTAGTATAGTATTAAAATGGATTGATTTGGGTATGAATATCACTTTGAGTTACATGGTGCTTAATGAAAGGCTTAATTCACCCCAGATCTTGAAAATAACTTCAAGGAAACCAGAACGTTTAAACTGTGAATTCTTTATGAGCAAGTGTGTGTCCAATGGCAAATATTATATCATTCACCCAGTGTGAATAATATATATATATTTTAAATTGATTTGGTTTTATACTTACCCATAGACTGTAAAAAAAAGATGGACGATGCACCTTCATTCTCTTCCATTGTAGAAAAGTGAAGCCGGCAAAGTCCCAATATGACGCTGACATCTTGCGCTGATTTGGGACCTGATTCTCAGCAGTAGCCTAGTGAACGCGGGACCTGATTAATGAGCGTGAAGTGGAGCCGCGATATCAAGGTCCCGCCCACACTCTCGCAGAAATGGTTAGTACAGTTTCCTGCAGAACAACTCATTATGTCGGTGTGAAATAAACAGTCATGAAAATGTAGAAATTAAAGTTGAAGCTCCAATCTCTTCCCGAAAATCCCCCCAAAAGTCCGTTGGTGCCTCAGTCACTACTTCGTTTAGAGAAGCTGTCAATCACAACTGTCAATCATGACGTCACATTCCCGTTTTTATAGCATCAAATAACTAACACACCAAACTTATTTAAAAAAATGAACACTTAAAACTTACATCAGCGTGATAAAAACTACCTAAAATGACTGAAAACATCTTTGGAAAAAATTATTTGAAGTGTAATTTGATTGTTTAGTTTCCCTCGCGTCCCATTGGACTACATGGATAGGGCGGGGTTTATGACCTATGCTAGAGACGCTTTGGCTTCACTTTTCGGGACTTGTGTGGCACGCTTGTACTTATCCATGTCTTTGCGAGTTCGAGACAAAAGTGTGCTTGCAGACAAAGCCCCGCCCACACACTCTTCTGATTGGCTGTGATTCGTGATTTTTCGTGGAAATTATTAAAATATGTCTTGAGACAGCATTTTAAGTGCAAAGTCTAGTCCAAATGTGTGATGTGATGGGCGCTTTCGAAACACTGCTTTGTGAAGCTTCAAAACCTATGCGAATCATTTGCGTGGCCGTTAAGTCCACAGACCATAGGGTGTCCCATTTGTTATTTCAAGTTTCAGAAGGGTGCTCACTAGCGCCCCCCTTTGCGGCCGATAAGCCCGCAAGTCCACGAGCTCCACAGCAGACTTCTACCTGGCAGTCAAAGCTGAATTACGTCACGAACATGTGGATTTGGAGGAAGATTGCCCGGGCTTAGGGTTCTATTTAGGCTTGTTCGACTTGAACCGGCGCTGCACAGACCAATCGGTTTATGACATCTGTAGGTGCCAGGTTTGGGTTGATGTCTTTTATTTAGAAATTTTTACTTTCAGTTTGTTACGTTACTTGGTATAGGTGTACTATATTACCTGTTAGTATGCGTGTGGTTAGCATGTAGGAAGGAGGTGAGTAGCTGGGACGCTCACTTTCTGTTGACCATTTTCATTTCATTTAGTTTTATTTCATTTCATTGCTTTTTTGCTTACTTTACTGTCATCATTCATCATGTTGTTCGTTTCAATGTTACAATAAACCACCTGGATTTGCAGTGGAAACGTGTCAACATTTACTCCCTCTACTCAGCCTTTTAGCGATTACTGGCTGCCGCTATAACATCAAAGTCCCGCGAGAGTGATTCAAAAGCATAAGGAGTCATCTGCTCTCTAATCGCTCTCGCGGTACTTTGATGTCATAAACCGATCGGTCTGTGCGGCGCAGGTTCAGGTCGAACAAGCCTTTTGGGACAGGACCAAAGTCACATGATTTCAGTAAATGAGGCTTTGTTACATCATAACTGTATGGAAATTTCAATAGAGAATGCGTAGCTACTGTACGTCATGCCGGTTGCATGCTGGGGATGCACCATCATTTTGGGAGGATCGCCCTCTGCTACTAAATTCATACCAATATCTGCTTACATTTTGTTTTGGTTTTGCCTTGAAAGTGAGTATTCACATTCTTCATGGTATCGTTTGGAAAGAGAGGCTATTTTATCGCTCTGCGTGATAATTTGATGTTTTCACCATAGTTTTGCAGAATTCAAAGCTTAATGTACCAGGTTGCCATGAAAACAAGTTTCAGGTGCTGGGTGCTCACTGCTTCATCCATCATATGGTAGAAATGTCCAAATAAAAATAAATATTCACCAACTATTTTTTTTGTATTCATGTTTTAAAATACTGCCTTAAACTCACTAGCAGAAAGACAGTGTGATCCTCCCAGTGTGGCGTCTAAACAACAGAGTTGCCCATAACTCAATAAAACATTTGCAACTGATTTGTAAAAGGAGTTTTCCTGCATGTTTGGGCTGAGTTTTCGTTGCATTTACACCATTCTGACCAGTAGGCAGCAGGCATTTGTTTCTCCCATCACTACGACGGTGTGAACAGAGCAATATTCTCTGGTTAATTTCTTATATTCAATCTGTCCTAATTATAAGATGACAACCCGCAATTTTCTACTGGGAGCTGTGACTCGGAATTAGGCATTCCTGTGGCATATACTATCAACGGCAATATGAATCTGCAGTTGTCAAGTGGTACAGTGGTCATGTGGTACAAGTGGGAGCTCTCGTAAAATTCAGTTTACAAGTTGTAATTACGAGTTCTATGAGGACGTGAACGCTTACAAGATTCCGTTTTACAAGTCGGAATCTCGTAATTACGGTAACTACAACATGGCGTGAATTCACTTTATTTCCACCTCAAAGGCAGCGGAGCTCAGAACACACCTATCTGATTACATTATCGCCACAGATCCAGTGGTAGGTTGAAAATGCTTATCAGTTGGAGCAAACTTTTCCGGAGAGTTCACTTTAACACAGTGTTTTGAGCCCCTGAAACAAACTCCAAGCAAATTCCCTTTTGGCTTGATTTTGTTCAAAATGAAGCCACACCAGTTTGTTCTTTGATTTCGCTTAAAGTATATAAGGGCTTTACTAATCTATTTTAAAAAGTGTCTCTACCCATTACCAGTGCATAGCAATCATTAATTAGAGTAAAAAAATTAGAGTCACATGTCCTGTGTGCCACATTTGAGTTTCTTCTCATGAAAAGTCAGTCACTCAAAGGGTTAGTTCACTGAAAATGTAAATGCTGTCATCATTTACTTACCCTTATGTTGTTCCAAACCGGCATTAGTTTCTTTCTTCTGTTGAACTAAAAATAAGATATTTAAAAAAATATTGGTAACCAAGTCAATGGCTACCATCAACTGTCTGGTTACCAACATTCTTCAAAGCTTCATACCTATGTAGGTAGCAGACAGCAAGGCGACTCACTATGTTATGGGACTAAGCTTACAAGTCAGCCTTTACACCTGAATGAACGTGTCAGTAAAGACACTGACATACATGTTCCTTGATATATAATTTTTTTATATACCTTAATAAATCCAGGAAAATGCAGGAACCCCTCAGTTTAAAGGTGCATTGCGCAACATTTCATGTTAAAAATACCCGTTTTTCTAACCCATACATGCTTAAACAATTGCCTGATGGGCTGAATGAGCCCTTCTCTGATCACTGCGATTGCCTCTATAATCCTGTACAGTAAAATAAATAAGAGGGATTCGGGACGGAATTTGAGACTGGGCGTGACGTCATGCGCGTTCACGCTCACCTGGCTATGTCTGGCAGGTTTGTGTATTTGCCGCCATTCTCCGTATCAGTGAAGACAACTCGAGGGACAAAACTTTAGTCAACTTTTCGACAAAAGTAGAAGATGGATTCTAAGAGACCGGCTTGTAGTTCATTCCAAACCCCAACGCAAACTCCACGCAAGACAAAGAAAAGAAAACTTTTGTCTAGTGCCACCAAAAGGGCCAAATTGGAGTCAGACAGGCGTCGGAATAAGACGAGAGTCAACATTGAGAAGGCTTTCAACAAATGGAGAGATCTCCGGTCTGCTCTAGGGCTCAAACGGGATCCTCTGATTATTATTTTGAGCTTTTACAAAGTAATAACTTATATTGTTCATGAACGTGTTTCCATAATAATACAATCATAAGTGGATACAGTAAACACATAAAACAGTTCAACATGGAGATAGATGGAAACAAAAACCGAAGTTTTCTACTACCCCCGTTTTCCCCTCACACATAAGTGTGTAATTTACTCAAATGCCTTTCCTTTCATATATTTAAAATGACTTGCAGATTTGTAACTGTATTACCTCTGAAGACATTATGACTCTAAACAAAAGATTTGTGCGGCTGATGCTCCTTTGGTTATGAACAGCTCGTGTTCGTGCAAGTGTGCGTGTGGTCCATGAGCGTGCACACGTCTGGTTGCAGTTTCGCTTGTCGCCAGAGGGGGCATAGATCTGCAAAAACTCAGAGACTTGCGCAATGCACCTTTAAGTACATTGTTGTTATGAATTGTAATAGTTAACAAATGATTGTAACCAAGAATGCCTAAACTTAATCTCTTCTGTAAAAATTCTAATTTAAATCAATGAGATTCAAAGCATTATGACATCAACAATAAAACAGACATTGGAAGTATATATATGAGAGAGAGAGAGAGAGAGAGAGAGAGAGAGATAGAGAGAAGGAGAGAGAGAGAGAGAGAGAGACACACACACACACATATATATATATTCGTTTATTATTTGATATTTAAACAGACTAAAAAGTTGTAAATACAACTTCTGAATGAAAGGCACAGTAAAATCAGACATGGCTGATATAATACTCAACTGAAAAAGAAGTACAGTACAAAAGCAGACAGTTACTTATGCACGCAAAAAAAAAAAAACTCTCACGTGCCAACACCCAAAGAGAGGCCATCCGGTCACTGGTTTAGATTTGACAAGAGCAGAGGGATCTTCAGTGATAATGGCTGATCGACACTTATTGCTTTGACTCTTCAGGGCCTGACTGGCCAGAACCCAAACATGGAAATAAAAAGATTAAAATCTTAATTAATTTCATTAATTTGCTCTGGCAGAAACATCAAGTTGAAAGTGATTAGCTAGCTTTCAAAATCCAGGCTCAATGGAGTGATGCTGTCAGTCAAGCGCTAGCGTACTTCATTATCTAACGCATACTCATTAGCATACTGATCTAATTCATTGGTCCACCAAGTGCAAAATCAAACTAGGGAAGGGGAAAAAAACAGCAGGCTGATGGCTCAAAAGTAAATGATCTTAAGTGTTAGAGACATTTGATTAAATTTTGATTAATTCAATTGCAGAGCTGTGAAATTGAAATGTTAAGATGGATTTTAAAGATAGAAAGTTCATTTTAGCCTGTGCAGATGCATGTTCAGTTTGATAGTGCTGCATCACGCCATGTGCCAGTACATTATTTATAGTTAACGGCCGATTAGAGACCTGGACCTCTCTGATTTAATAGTGCCACGTAATTTGGATTCATCGTGGCCCTCTCTGGACTTTGCTTGATTAATACAAACACAAATCTTTGAAACAAGTGTAACCACATTCATGAATCTGCTCTGGGGTAATTCTGATGGTTTGACAATGCTAAATTTTTACTGAAAGTCTCTGCCCTTTTACTTCAGAGGTTTGAGTTATATAGAACCAGACTCTTTGGTATATGCAAAGCAATTCCAACTCATTTCCCCTCCAATCTGCTCTAATTATGTACAAATTTCCACATCCTCTCTACCATCTCAAAATTATGCTTTATGCCAAACTCATTCTTCCTGGAATGTAAGTGAATCAATTAGGCAGAAGACGTTCACTAAAACGTTTTGGACAGAGTTAATGCTTGTGTACTAGCATTCCCAAGCTGCCTTTCCCAGTGTCACCATTTTGCAAGTAAACCTCCAGCGAGAAACTGGAGGATGTTGACAATGAGGATGTAACCGCTGCCTTTATTGCAAAATAAACCATTGAATAAAAGCAATGAACCCTTGCAATGAAGTAATGCAGTATTTTCAATAATTTAAAGATTTAGAGAAACAAAATGTACACATAACAGATTGTAGTGATGGACGATTGGTCTGAGATAGAGTTACAGAGGACAGAAGCTTTGTCAGACCTTAAGTCTCTTTGTCATAAGTCTAATGGGGATCCCCAGACCCTAAAGACATCGTCGGACATTGATGAGTGAACATCGAGCATTGACAGGTATGGGCGGTCATTACCTAGTGGTACCGCTGAGCTGGGTTAAGTACTCACGGAGTTCTTTAGCTGCTTGGAAACGGCCATACCGCTTTTTGGGGTTGGCGCACTCATCCAAAAGAGCTTCAAGCTGGCTGTCTTTGGCTATGTGTGGCGGGGGGTCATGAAGAAGTCCGCCGGAGCTGCCCCGCCATGTAGCATATCGCGAAAGCAAATTTTGACAGATGGCATAATAGTTGTGGTCCACTGTGACCCGTGAGCACAACATGTCTTTAGAGAAGGAAAGACAGGCCTCCTTGTCACACTCCTCAAACTTGCTCTCGTACCAGACATCGTAGTTCTCAGGCTTATCTAGAGGAAGATGACAGAAACAAGTAAAACTGCAGCAGTTGATGAAAATGTAAAAACACTGAATTTGCTATTTCGTGTTTTGTAGGTTTTTGTTTCAAACTAACAGGATCAATGATGTTTTTTATCTTTACATTTATTTTTAAAAAAATACATGAATGCAATTCAAACATACAATGACTTGGTGATACACTTCATCTTAAATAAACATGTTTTTAAACACTAAATTAAATTTCATGTTGATATCTGAACAAAAAATGTGTCAGGGTGATACAACTGTCCTGAGATCATAATGCAAAATTGTATATCACTCTTATCATTTCTTAGAATTTGTTTTACAAAACTACTTCTGGAAAATTACCACATCTTGAAAAATATTAAGGCTGGGTATTGACACAAATATCACAATTTGATTTGATTCAATTTGGTTAAATATCAGGTATAGTAAATGGCACATTTTCTCAAGGAAACTAAATCTCTCAACTAATGGTCCCTTCACATACTGTGTCTGTTTCTCAGTCAGATAACCTTATTGATGCAGTTGCTTTAACTCTTCTTCAATTATGTCAACGGATTTCAAGAATATCGGCTTGTCCAACGGTCTATAAAACTCCCCATCCTGCAACTGCCACATAGCCTCCCTAATGTACTGTTCCCTGTCCATCACTACTACCTCACTACCCTTATCCGCTGGCTAAATTACAACCCTCAACCCTTTCAAGGCCTCCCAATTCCCTCTGTACAAATTCCATTCTTCTCCTGCCTTTATCATTCCTTTGACCACCCTCTCATCCTCTAGTGTCTTCCACACCAATTTTGGCACCTGACTCTTCCTCTGCTCCCAGCCCCCGAGCTGGTTATAAATGGTGGCTTCACTCCTCCACCTTTCCCCCCTTCAAAGAAGATGTCGCTTAAATGTAGTAGTAGTTTAAATGCTTTGCCCAGTGCGTCCTCATCGCCTCTCCCATCTCCTAGGTAAAGTGGGTTGGGTCGGTTTCCATTTGAAACAGGCCATACAGGAGATTTTCTATGGCCTTCCCCCCATGGTATTGATGTGATCATTCAGTTCTCTCAGCAACATTTTTTCTCTCACTAGCAATAGCCAGTGTGAGTTGATCATAAGCATGCAGACTTGAGCATTTCAGAAGGTTAGCAGAGCAATGAAAGTGTGCTTCCTGTTGTTAATGACAAATGACAGCAGCACCTTCATTACCTCTGAACTTGTTGGTGTCCTGTTCTTCAGAAGTTGGTAAATATGTGCCAATTGCGCACCACTTGCACTCTCTCATCCTGCACTGCTGGTAGTTTACCAATATTGGAGTCCCCCAGCACCAATGTTGGTCTCCTTGGCTGAAGAGTCCAATTTCTGAACTTGTCCCAGTCGTGCTCTTGTCTCTCAAAAAGGCTTTGTCCAACAGTTTCCCTTTGTTCCCCTTGCCTCTTCCTAAACCCACCCTTTCTCTGGGGTCCTCCTTCCTTCGCCCAACCTTTTCTTCTTCCTTGAACTTCCTCCTCCTCCTTTTCCTCACGTTCACCGCCATCAATCTGTGCTAAGCCAATTCCAGCCACCTCATCCAGCATGACCCAGATCTCTCATTCTCCTCCCCTTATTCATGTACCCGTTTCTTGGTCTTGCATCTCGTTCTTGCTCGACCTCCTCCGATTGTTCTCCCCCCACTTGTTCTCCTTACTCTTGTACCTCCTGTGTGATGTTGCCCCTTGTTCCTCTTGTTCTGGTCCCGTCTGGCTTGACCCCTCACCAACCCACAGCCGTCTAATCTCCCTCAAATTTTTCAGATGATGGACTATCTTTATATACATATGGATCAGCCATATAAGGCTCATCTCTGATCTCTATCCATTTTTGCAATCTATAACAGAATAACTCCTCTAGTTCCATCATCTCTTTAAGTAATTAGATATTTACAAATGAATTACTACAATCAAACTCATAATATCAATATATATTTTATAATGATTAAAATTTCAACCATATTCATATTTGATCCTACCCAGATCTCACTCTATGAACTCGAAACTCCAAAAAATAACCAACCTCCCCATATCCCTACCCAGGAGTACAACGTTTTCAATATAAATTTACTCCAGACCAGCGAAACAAACCATAACCCTAAGAGTGACGCTCGATAATCCTGGCCAAGCATCGTACTGACAAGAGAATGTCCTCTTTCTCAGCCCCCCTCTATGCCTAACCTTTACATTCTAATCACTACAATTATAATGGGAAACAGGAAGTGTGTTATAACTTCTGCATACATTGACTGATTTTGATTAAACCTTATCTGTATGTTCATTGAAGGTTGCCAAATCACATGGATGTGACTATTGTGAGTCAAAGTCATAGTGCCACCAACTGGCAGCAGGAAGTTTGTCATTTTCACAATTCTTTGAAATCACTCTCTTATTTTTACCCAATTTGCTTCAAACTTCATCAGAATAATGTTGACATGGTAAATTGATATCTCAAATACAATGGTGTAGCAGGCCCCCCTGCAAACCGAAAGTCCTATGTGGGGAGGCTCGGACTTACGGTTCGCAGCCAAGCGTGCCGCACAAGCCCTGAAAAGTGAAGCTAAAACTTCTCGATCACCCCCTGGTGGCCGGTCCTAGTATAGGTCATAAACCCCGCCTCCCCATGTTATTCAACGACACGTGAGACCAACTAAAAAATGTAATTACACTTCAAATATCGTTTTTCCAAAGATGATTTCTGTCATTAAAGGTAGTTTTTATCACGCTGATGTAATTTCAAGAGTTTGTTTTTAGTTATTTATTTGATGTGGTGGTGTGACGTCATGATTGACATACTTTTTTTCGGGATCTTCGGAGGACTAAGGAGATTGGAGCTTTAAATTTAACCCTCTGGGGACGGCAAACGCACCGGTGCGTTTTGGCAGATTTTTTTCACATAGCAGAAAAATAGACTTTAAACTACTCCATTTCTGGTCATACAGAGTTAAGACATATTAAAAAATAAACTGTTAAATGTCTACTTTATGTGCCCACCTAAAATCGAAATAAAATATTGTGCTTTTGTAAAATAAAGAAAATAAACAGGGTGTGCGTTCTGCTTCTCCGTGAACTTTTTTTCTGGAGCACGTCTCTAAACTTAAACAAAACTCAGCGAATACTATTCACCTAGACATGAGCAATATTTGTTTATGATAATTTAAGTTTGTACTTTTAAATGATCTAATTTAAAACTAAAATAAATATTCTCTGTTTATGTAATCTATATAAAAAGAGAGAGGTGTCAGCCGTTCTCATTATCGTTCTTGCATCTCATTCCGCTAATGTGACGCGCCCACGGAGAACGCGCGCTATTCAAACGCTAATGATCTGAAGCAACACATTGAGGCGTGTAAACGCCCACATAAACTCGGTAAACACACTATATTTAGTCAGATTAATGTACTGTCGTCTTGCGCGGATGTGAGGAATAATACTGGGACATTTACCTACCTCAGTACAAGTCCTGGTTTATTTTCACTTCGAGGAGCGAGCTGGGCTGTAAGTGTTTTTATTCTTGTGCTTTGTTCTAATCGCGATATATAATAACGTTAGTGTCTGTAAACGCAAAAATAGCCTACTGTTTAAATTTGAATCATGTTTCTGTGTGTGTGTGACTAGTTTTGGATAGATTATAAAGTTTTAACTCTAAAATAGACAATTACCATTTTTCAATAACCATGCATAAACAATATGTGACCAGTTACGGAAACTAGGGACACAAGTCGTTCTGGAGCATTTTGAGTTATTCACAGATTCTGAAAGTGTGGTCTCCAAGCTTTCCAACGATGTGTAACACATGGAAATCTGATAATATTTGGAGAAGTTGTAGCCATTTGAAGTTAGGCACTCAAAAAAACTAAAAGTGGAGAAAACCGCCTCGAAAGATGTGCAGTTCTCACCTCTCTCTGCTGCTGGGAGTGACAATAGGGCTCATTTACATCTCATTTAGATAAGCCATACCCCCTGTAAAGCTCCCCCTGTGCTTTACAGCTTTTTTTTTCTTTCCTGAGCTAGCTAATAACAATAGGTAGGTATGGGAAGGTCTAAACAGACTAAACATGAGATAACATGTACCTTTTCTTAGAATTAAAACAAAACGACAAACTTTAATGTTTAATGCAAACTCACCCCCAGGACCGGCGAATGCACTTCTGCCGCTCTAGGCGAAAAACAATTGTGCTGCCCCTCTATTTGCAACGTTTACCAGCAACAACACACAAAGACCAATATGCCATATACATATAACGCAAAACCAGCAACAACACACAAAGACCAATATATGCCATATACATATAACGCAAAACCAGCAACAACACACAAAGACCAATAAGCCATAGGCCTACATATAACGCAAATAGTGCGCAACGTGCGTGTGCCCAAAATGTCAAGAATATTAAAGTTTATGCAGGAGGTAAATGCCTGCTGGCATTTTTATTTAAGCAGTCATGACAGGAATTTTCCAAATAATCATATTTCCTCCTCAGATTACTGTTGCAAATCTCTTTACCACTTTCTTATGTGCGTATACACACACAAATGAAATGTCCGCAAGCACATTATATCATCAGCAGGTTCAGCATCTTACATAACGACTAAGGAGCAAATAAAGCTTAACTTACGTTTCAGAAACGCGCACGGCAGGCCTTCATCGCAGCAAAGGTCTTAACTGCATCCTCTATTTCGATTCTCTGTGCCAGTTCATGTTCTATGGAGATTGTTGCCAGTCCATTAAGTCTGTTCCCTGTTCACAAAACGTTCCCCATTCAAAGCAATCGGGACGTCACATACGAAACAGTTAGCCACCGCTGTCAGCGAGCCGAGCCGCCGTATTCAAGCACCGAGGGCGCGCGCGCCGCGCCCATACCTCCGGTTCAGTTTCCAGAGCCCACAAAGTGCGGCGAAAACATTTTCGGTGTAACTGCCACGGTTCAGCTCGTCTGCGACAATCTTTGCGGCATCGATCTTCATTG